CTCCGGCTTGGGTCGCTCTGTGGAAGTGATTTTTCCAGGTGAGGAAACGCTCATGCAGCCCTGCCCCTCCTGCCTTAGATGAGGAAACTGAGGCCCACCAGTATCTGTGGCACAGTGAGTTGCAGACACAGCTGGGACCAGCACCTGGGGGGCTCCTGGCAGCACAGTCGGCTGGCCTCTGAGACCTGCAGGCTCTGCTCCCACCGCTTCCCTCCACTGAGCCCACAACGGCCTCTGGGCTCTCTTGCCCTCCAGACGAGGGAAGGGTGAGCCCACGCAGGGGCCCCTCGAATCCCTTCCTCCATCCCTGCTCGGCATGGTGCTGGCTGGTGGCAGCTAACCATGCCTCCTTTGCTGCTCTTATTTTGAAAGTATGGGGGCTTAGCAGATGCTTTTTAGTGACAAAACAGAATTTCAGTTGCACTCACCTCCAAAAAGCACCAGCCGCTCTATCTGGCTGCGTCTGCATAACGTGAGGATGCTTTCCTCATCTCATTCTAGCTCCCAGGGGTGTGTGGTCAGGAATAACCCCATCCTAGGGGAACAGGGGGAGGCTCCGGAAAGGTCAGAGAGGTCGCAAGGCCTCGTGTTGATTGGGTGGGGTGGGGGGCGGCCGGCAGAGTGGGCTTTTCAATAAGCATTTAAGCGAATGGTTAAATAAATGAATAATAAAAATGGCTTTCTATTTTCAAATAAAAAATAAAAAAGCTCTTGCTATTGCATGCTCTGATTAGCATGATTAACTGTAATGACTCATTTCCTCCTCAGAAACATCCTATTATTACCCTCATTTTAAAATCCAGAAGTCTGAGGCACAGAGAGGTTAAGCAATGTCCTGAGGCCACACAGCTACTAAGTGGCAGAACCAGGATCTGAATCCAGCCAGTAGGGCCTTGTACTTAGCCACCCTGCGAAACACCTGTGCAGGTTCAGGTCCACAACACTCTGTCCACTAGAACTTTCCGTGCTGCCAGGAACCTTCTGTATCTGTGCCACCCAAGATGGCAGCCTCTGGCCACATGTGGCTGTTGTGCACTTGAAATGTGGCTGGTGGGACTGAGGAGCTGCCCAGGGTGAGGAGGGATGTGGGAAGCAGCCCCCCATGCCCAGTATTGGGCTCTAACAGTTTCTGAACAAGAGCCAACTGAGTAGCCCAGAGTTCAAACAGAGACTCATGGCTTCAGCGGCCAGATTGCTCACCTGCCTTAGAAAGAGGAAGCAAGATGGGCAGAGGGGAAGGAGAGGACTCCGGCCCACACAGCCAGCCAGAGAGGACGGGCAGAGCCAGGCCTCCAGCTACAGTGCCACTGGCACTCCCCACGCCACGCCTTCACGTCTCCACTCCCCCGTCCCACTCGGTCTTCTTCCTGTGAGCAGAGAGCTGGTTCACATTTCCCACGTATGAGAACAGAGAGCTCCTGCCATGGCTCTGAAGACTGGGCCGTGGAATCCACAGCCCCCTGGGCGAGGTTAGTCCTCAAATCCAGTCAACTCTTGATCCAGACTCACACTCTCCACTTTTGGGCTTATCAGTGGCAAAGCCTTAATCCCTGCCAGGCACTTGGCGCGGAGGCTGCCTCCTGCCCTGCTGTCAGCTGGTGTGTGCGCAGGGAACGCAGGCTCATTTTAATATTGGCTGGAGCTAAACCTCATTAGAAAAGTAAATTTGCTGTAGCTGCAAAAAAAAAAAAAAAAAAAAAAAAAAAAAAAAAAAAAAAAAAAAAAAGGCAACCCACGTAACCCTTCCAAAGCTAAACAGAAAACACCAGATTTGGATTTTTGGATTATTTGATGTTTTACGTTCCCAGCACCTGGTGCAGAGCCTCCCACACAGTAGGTGCTTGGTCACTGTTGGTGCAAGTGAACTGAATTTTTGGGGATCTCTGACCACCCTGTCACCTTTCAGCATGGATAAGAAGGGCTCACAGATCTGAAATTTCTGTGTCAAGAGTTTTTTTTTTTTTTTTTTTTTTTTTTAAGACGACGATTTGCTGATAAATTGGAAGGATTATATTTAACAATAATTAGACAAGCAAATATTATTTTGTGTTTGGCGAGGACGAACTCTGAGCCAAGGCATGCTCTGGGTTCTTTGGGTCGGGATAAGGAAGGGTAGGTCCAGCCCAGAGTCTGGAGGTGTGATGACTCAAGTGGGTGAGGAGGGAGGTGGGACAGCCTGCACCAATTCCAGCGGGATTGGCTCCAGGACTGGCCTGACACTGCTACTCCAAATTCTAGAGCCATCCTCATCCTGGAAGAAAGGGGGTGAGAGTGTATAAAATACATAGATTAAATTAAAATTCATCTAGTATTTCTTCTAAAAACTGGTGAGATGACAGTTTCTCAATTTATAGATTGTCAGGAAGCTGGGGCTTAGAGAGCTCTATTTTTTTCAAAGTCTACTCGGCTAGCCACAGATGGAGCTGAGACTGGACGACCTCAGACAGCCTGGCCAAGGGCCTGTCCCCACTGCACTTCTTCCATGTCCCCTGGCTAGTCTTCAGTAGGGTCCACAAAGGTCTTTTTGCCTGGAGGCATGGGGAGTGGGGGTGCATGGGTGCATGACTTCTTTCCTCCTGAGTGCCAGGTTTCCCCAGACCCCACATCCTTCCCCACTGCCCTGCATTCCAGGACCAGGAGGGCTGGGGCAGGGGCCAGAAGATGGAGAGGAACCCTCAGCACTGGGAGATGATCAGGGGCAAAGGGTGTCCCTGAAAATCCCTGCAAGCTCTTGATGTGCTTGACCTCAGAGCCTGTCCTCCCTCTGCCTTTGGGCTTCTGTCTAAAAGATCCTTAACATTCATCAGAGCCACAGGAAAGCACCTTCCTCAGTAGAATGTCCAACTGCTCCAGTGAGGGGCCTCCTGCAGGGGTGGACAATTGCTGAGGTCGATGTTGGGGAACAGGGAGAGGCCCCCGGCCCACCCCAACTCACCACTCAGCCCACCCTGACTTCTGCCTGTGTGCCTCCCTCTGCCATCTGCCAGTGTGCCTCTGTGCCTTTGTCTCTTGTCTCACTGCCTCTTTCTCTGCCTGTGTCAGGCTCTCTCAGAATCCTTCTCCTCCTGAGTCCCTTCCTCTCCTCCTCTCCATTCTCATCAGAGAGGAGCACTCATCCCTCTCTTCCAGACACAATGGAGCACCATGCTCCCATCCGTCAGCCTTTCAGTCAGTACATCCTCTTCCCCATTTCACACTCCCAGCTCCCGGCCTGCCTCATCACCCTACGCTACACAACTAGGAAAAGTACATCTTACTTGGTCTCAGGGGTAAGGACCCCCGATAAACCACTAAGAGAACCTTTGGGTCTCTCCGGAAGCCTAAGCCGGAGAACTGGGCTTGCCACAGGGCATCCTCCTGTGAAGCTCCTTGGTCTCTGCCACGGGCTCCAATCCTGTTACTGGAGCTGATCTCCTCAGTGATTTACCTGCCCCCTGCTTTTGGTGGAACAGTGAGTACCTGCTCAACCAGAAACCTACACACACATACTCAACGCGGCGCCTGCAAGCTTTCAGCTCGCCTGGACCTGGAGTGATCCCCAAGCACCCTGGGGTCAGGCACAGAAACGGGAACAGCAAGCTCCTGGCTCCAGTGAGGAACGGGGCACAGATGCATTAACTCTCCCAGTCCCACTAACCTTAGCAAGTATTTCTGCTTCCATCAAAAGGGGAAGAGGGAAAATGTCTCTAAGCTCTGGAACCTTTGGCAGTGCTGGGCATGGACTGGGCAGAATGAGAAGTCTGTCTGAAGACCCTGGGAAAGGGTCTTCACCCCACGGCAAGAAAGGGAAGGCTTGGTGTTTGGTCCAGTAAGGCCATTAATGGTCACCAACTGAGCAGGCTCTAAGAGGAAATGTCTCCATCTCGGTAGTGGCTACCAGCAGAGGTAGGGAGACATAATCACAGAAGACAAATGTTAGAAAACCCTAGAACAACAGTCCTGTGCAGCCACATGCCCCATGGCCCTAGTAACTCAGGGAGTGGTGTGCCTCCCATTTCCACACAAACACATCCAGGCATCGCACAGTGCTAGGCCCTAGGAGGTCCGTACCCCAACATTTTCAACAATGCATACTACACAGCCCGAGCTGTAGGCCCCATTGGGAACCCCACTCACACTGGTGCCCATGCACTGGGCTAGCAACTGTCAGTAAAGGTCCCCTTCCTGTACGTTAGAAATCTCCGGAGTCCTTCAGCTCCAGCTTCTACAAGAATCCATGCAGCTAGGCCTGGCTGGGGGAGAAAGGGGACAGGGAGGTTGGCCAAGGCTCCCATGTGTGTGCATGTGGGGGTGATTCTTGACCTTAGCTGCTTGGTACGGGGCTGTCACCTCCTTTCCCTGGCACTGTCGGACCCGGTGGCTTCCTTCTCTATTTCCTGCCTCAACTCAGCCTCGTTTTTCTGGAAGTTGTGTGCTCTGACTTTGGAGGGATTGGGACCTCAGACCTGAGCCCAGGCGCAGATGGGAGGGTGGTGAATTGGTCGCGCCTCCTTCCTCCTTGCTACACGGAAGGTCCCAAGGGCCCTTTGCCACCCCTGGGTCCCTCAGCATGCCCCGCAGAGCTCGGGCCCCCTCAAGAGTTAACTCGGCAGTGCCCAGGAGCCAGAGAGCGATCCAGAGGGGGCTGCCGGGCATCAGGGGTGGGGAGGTGGGGGACGACTGACCCCTGACTCCTCATCCGGCCACCAGAAACCACCTGCTGAGGGGGCCAGGGCTGACGGCTGAGAGCCCGGGCCAATTGTTAGAAGCTGCTGAGAACCAGCTCTTCCCCTAATCCCGGTCGACGGGGGCAGGCAGTGCCGGGTTTTGTTTCGCAGCCCCTCGGCCGCAGCGCCTCCCGGCCGAGCTCGGTTCTCGGCCCCCTCTCCGGCTGCCCCCGGCGCGCGCGGCGCACACACACCCCAGCGCGCGCCCGGAGGACATGGCGTGGGCGCCGATGGGGACGCAGAACGGGGCTCTGTGCGCGGCGGGGCGCCCGCGGGGGCGCGGGGAGCACTGACCTGCGGCGACGAATCCGGAGCGTCCCTGGTGCGGTCCATCGCGGGCGACGGCCCTACGCCCCGGCCCCGGCGCCCCGAGTCTGCTGCCCTGGGCCGCGCGCGGTTCCCTCCCCGGGGACTCTCGGGCTCCGGGCCCGCGGGGGCCACTTCATAGCCGCGGGGTCCGCGCACCCGCCCGCCCTCCCGCAGCCCCGCCCGGCCCCGCCGCCCCGGCCCGGCTCGTTCTGGGCTCCGCGAGGCGGCGGCCGAAGGCTGGGAGCGCGCGGGAGGGAGGGCGCGGGAGGGAGGGCGCGGGAGGGAGGCGGGGGGCGGGAGCGGGAGGGGAGCGGGGGGCGGGGGGCGGGAGCGGGAGGGGAGGGAGCGGGGAGGGCGCCGCGGGGAGCAGGCGCGGGGGGCGAGCGGGGCGAGCGGGGCCGGAGCCCAGCAGACCGGGCCGGCGCACGGTCCCTCGGTGGCGGCGGATGCTCCGGTGCCTCCGCGGCTCTGCCAGCGCCTCCCGCCCCGCCCCCACCCGCTCTCCGCCCCCGCCCGCCCCCGCCCCGAGCCCGCGCCAGCGCCGGCGGGACCCGAGCTGCTAATGGTCGGTACCAACCTCGCCAGCCGAGGCGGGGGCGCGGGGAGGGAGGCCGGCGAGGGACCCCCCCAGGGATTGGTATCACCTCCCCAGCGCCCCTCCCGCCCCCGGCACCGTCCCCCGGGAGGCGGCTCCGGCTTCAGGCGCCAGAGCAGGGGTGGCGGGCAGGGGCCGAGCGCACCCCCAGATCTCGGCTCTCGAGAGTTAAAGCTCGGCCCCCGCGCACCCCCTTTCCTCCCCGCCTCCATCCTGGCTGCTCCTGGCGCCCAGCTCCGCGCGTCTCTCAAAGGGTGATTGTTTCCGGCCGGGCTGCGGCAGGGCGGGGGGGCGGCTCTCCGGACCGCGAGGCCGAGCTGGGGCGCCGTGGGGGATGCGGCTCCCTCCTGGGCTTCAGGCACCCCCGACGGGAGGTGGCTGTTGGGGGCGGACGGTGCCGTGCCAGGGCACGGGGTGCTGCTGTGGGGTGGTCGCGGGGGTCCTCAGGAGGCGGCATAGGGCGGCCCCACCTGTGGGCCCTGCTGCCCCGTGGAAGGGCACCTCGAGCTGCCGCGCGTCGGCTTCACCCCAACCTCCCCTTCCGGGCCAGGGCGCCGCCGGGCCTTCCAGAGAGAGGCCGGGAAGCCTGCGGGGGCGGACAGGCGCGGGGAGGCCGGGGGCGGCGGCTCTCCAGGAATTTCCCGGGGCTCTGCCGCGGCGAGTTGGTGGGCGGGGGACAGAGGCCGGTGAGTGGGCGCGCGCTTGGACGTGTGTGGGTGCCCTGGTAGGGTGGCCTGAAGCCCTCCATGGAGCTGTAGATTCCAGATACTCCTTCTGCAGTTTGTCGGAGACTTTGAAGCCATCCTTGCACTCATTTTAGAGGTTGGCATCTCCTGGTGCTCTTGGACACCTGTGTTCAGGCCGCACCCGCTGTGTCCTCTTCACAACCCCAGGAGAAGGCCAGCTCCCATGGCGCGGTTCGCAGCGGGACCAGGGACTGTTGGTACTTTCTCTAGGGTCTCCCTCTTTCCCGGGAAACCAGTTCCAGTCCCACTGCTAGGCACTGCTTAACCAGAGCTGTGCCCCGTACTATGGGCTGGGGCTGAGGACCAGGGGCCCCTTTTCCATCAGCTTTTCTGCCCTGTCAGGACCAAGGCGGGCCCTGCTCTCCCCACTGAGGATGTGCAGGGGGGGAGGGAGCAGAGGCTCCAGAATCAGCCAGTTTGGTCAAGACCTTGGGGGGAGGAAGGCGCCTCACCGTGCACGTCACGCCACAGACATGTGGAAGTGCCCTTCGTGCCTGTCTCCAGGGATAGCTGCTCCTCCTTGTCATGCGCTCCTTCACTGTGCTTCACCGCCCTCTTTGCCGGCCAGAAACTTCCTCTGAATCTAACCTGAGTACCCTCTGCGGCAGTGCGGGAGCATTTCCCCTTCTCCTAACGCGTGGAATCCCAGCCAGCCCTGCTCGGCCTTCTGCCCCTAGACAACCCTCTCTGTTAGACTCTGCTAAGAGGCCTTTCCTGTCTGTGTTCTCTGGTGTTTTCCTAGTCTCCATGCTCTGCTCCTCCTTAGACTCCACCCCAGCTGAAGGGAGGGGAAGGGTAGGTGCAGAAGCCGGATGGGCAGGGGCACCAGAGAGCACCGAGGAGGGGCCAGGCCGTTCAGGAGGGCACGTTGTCTCCCTCCTCTGCTGAGCCAGCCAGCCGTAGTCACACAATCACCAAATGGGATTTGTCATGAAGTGACCATGAAGATCGTCTCATTCCAGACCCTCATGTTACCAACAGGGAAACACACCCACCAGGGGTGGGCTCAAGAGAGCTCAGGGACATGGCGACGAGGAGGCCTGGGTTTCCGGCCAGTTCTGAAGGCACTAGCAAAAGGCTTCGCCTCAGGGCTGGTTTCATTAGTGAAAAGGGGTCGGACTAAGTGGGCTGTGGTCCGACTGGTCCTGCTGGGCTGTGGCTCAGGGATGCCGTCTGCAGGGATTCCCGGCTTTACCTCAGCATCCTGGCAGGAACGATTGTGACAATATAGCCACTTTCTCGGGACCTGTCTTGCATCTTAGTCCCAGGCTCTGTTTACAGAACTTTTAATATTAATTTTTAGAGCCAATTTAAAACAATAATAGGAGATTGAAATTAGCATGATAAGGCTCAGTGAAGAGACAACAGCCTGCCATTCATTTTGGTGGGAAGTTTTGGCAACATCCTAAGTGTATGGACACACACAAGTGCACTGACATCTACGTAAGCACAAAACATGCACAGAGAGGCGGCGACACATGCAAACTCACCCACATGAACACACACGCTCTGAAATACGTCATGTGCACACGTAAATGCTTGCACATGGACATACCTGAAGCACCTGCATCCGCACAGACACACGTGTACACAAGCCATCCCCCCAGGTCAGCCACACTCCCACCCCTGTCTTCCTGCTTGGTCTCTGCAGGTCTGTGGAAATCCTTCCCTCCCGTGTCTGGACTTGGTGCATCCCCACAGCTTGCCCCTTGCTCCAAACATCTGGAGCATCTCTAGGTCTCCCTGAATGATTGATCTTCCCTTCCCCCTGCCTTCCCTGCCAGTAGTGAGCCCCTCTTCTCAGAGGCCCCCAAAGCCTTGCACCAGCATGTTTAGTATGCAAAGCCCGAGTTTGTCCTCTGGGACAAACCCTTATGTGTTTATTGTGTAGTTAAGCAGGACGGGAGCCCTGCCCCCGCTCTGGTCCTGGCCCAGTTCCCATAATCTGAATCCCAGAAGAGTGCTGTAAAACCGTCATCTGCAATGCAAAACCTGCAGAACATCTGGGAGGGTCTGTAGGTTTTCTCCAAATCACCTGTGCCCTAATTTAATATGAATAACAATTAGTTTACTCTTATCAGTTAATTGTTCCCCTCGTGGGTTCCGTCTGCCCTGGCCTCTCTTTCAGCAGGCGCTTTGGTTTGCTCCAGACTCCTAATGATACTGCCTTTTCAGCCATCCTTCTTAGCTGCCACCCCAGAGAGGCAGCGCAGCTGCGCTGCTTGCTGCCCTGGCCTGCGGGGCCCAGGCCCTCACCCCACCCGTCTTAGCCAGTCTGATTGTTGGGGACATCCAATCTCCCCTTGCCTTCACCAGGAATCTATAGCAGTGATTTTGCTGAAGTGAGTGGAAAGGTCCCAGTGGGATTCCTCAGTGAGGAATCCCTCCCCACACGGTGCCCGTGCTCTCCCGTCATTGCCCTGGGAAGGATGACAGCACGTGCACACGTGTGTGCACACCCCCATGCCACCAGAGAGCGGGGGGAGTGAGAGGAGGAAGAGCTGCCTTCTGCCTCGGCAGGCAGGGCGCGCTCCCCAGGTTCCCAGCCATGCTATCAGGCATATCTGAAATGTTTCCACAGTGACTCCTGGCTGGATGTGTGTGGATGTGCTGTTTTGGGTGGTGGAGTTCATGGCCCAGACAGAGAAAGAGGAGGAGAACTTTTAACTCTTCCCTTTCATTAGGTTTCTGGTCTGAGCTTCGGATCTTGAACACCCTTGGTCGTCCATAAAAAACTGAAAATGGTCATGTGGACAACAGGTTCCCCTCTGCCCTCCCCTGTTCTCAGAGGCCAGGCCGGCATCTTTCCTGAGCTGGTAAAGGTTGACTCCTGCTTCTCTCCAGTCTCTGCCTCCAGGGAAAGGGTGCAGTTGCGTGGCTTTAGAACACTTCAGTCATGTCATTCTGTTTTGCTTTCTTTCCTCTGTGGCTGAGGGAGGCGTGAGAGGTGACAGGAGCAGAGCCCTCAGACTTAGGGGAGCATCTCTGAGGCTAACCTGGGGCCATTCTTTGTCCTCTTGCAGAAGTGAAAATAACCCAGATTGTCCCTTGACCTCCCCACTATCCCCTGACTACTCTGCAGAGCCCACACCTCCAAAGTCTTCCTGAAGCCTTTCCCAACCTGAGCTCTGAGGCTCGTGCTGTCTCCTGCAGCCCTGCCGACCCTCAGGCACCTGTGGCAGTGAACTGCTCTTCCCCTCAGTTCCATAGCACTTAATCCGGACATGTCTGGAGGCTCTTACCCGTCTGTGCGTGCTTTCCTGTGTTCAGCTAATGTTTACTGAGCCCCAGTCATATGCCAGGCACTGTGCTGGGCACCAGAGACAGCAGTAAACAGCAACAATGAGGAGTGTTAACTTCAATTAGGCCGTTTGTCTGTACACACCGGTTAGGTTCCAAGTCTTCATGTACGCTAGCTGATTTCGTGTGTAAGGTGTTATTTACAAGGTACTGTTTGTGACAAGGTTCGATTATAGTTTCCATTTATAGGTCAGGAATCTGGGGCGTAGTATTTAGGTGATTTAATTAAGGTCACGTGCCTAGTAAGTGACATAGCCAGCCTTTGAGGCAGGCAGCCTAGTTCTAGGACTCATGCTCATCGTCAGAGCACAACTCAGGGATTATATGCTGGTGGTTCATAGATGGACAAACGCACAGAACAAACAGAGGTGGAGGAGATACAGGAAGGGAAGAAATAGGGTCAAGAGCTAGAGAGAGTCCTGGGAAGGCAGGATCAGGGACAGGCTCTTTGAAGAGGCCATGTCTGAGCCAAAACCCTGGGGGAATATGGGCCAAGCAAGGAGCACAGCGATAGGTGTCCTGAGGGGTTTGCAGGAGGCTTGGTGCGCTTGAGGAACATGGACAGCAAGTGAGGCTGGAGAGTGGGGAGCAAAGAGAGAGCCATGGGGAGCGGAACACTCTCTGCTTGGAGTTTGAGGATTCGTGTGCATGAGTGATCTCCTGCAGTAGCATCTTCCAGAGAGTGGCTGTTCAATAAATATGACGGATGGAGGAGTCTAATTTCCTCCCCAGACTCCCCTCCGTGGCTTGGGTGATGGGCAAACGTCCTAGACCTTTGGTTCTTAGTACAGTGTCTGCAGAAGGAACTCCTCACCGTTTCCTGTT